AAACAATTGAACATGAGAACCTTAAGATGAATTCTTTTGCAATAAAACTACGCTGCAGGGCTTTTTTGTGGGTATATATATATAGCTATCTTAAATATTTCTCTCCCTTTTGTATGGCAATTTTATGATGTTGATAGTTTTGTAGCAGTCGTCCGTATATGTATATTTATAGTCTATTGGTATAGTCTATACAGTTTTATTAATGTTTGTGCTTATATATTGTATTTATTTTAAACAGTTTCAGAGCTCTTTTGTTTCTATGCATTTTCTGAGAGATTTATATAACATTAAGTCCTGTATGGTTCATTTGTGTTAAAAAGAGTATTATAGTATCATATTCTTTTTCTTTCACATTGTATTTTATATGTCAGGGGTTTTAATTTATTTATGCAATTTTGTATTTTCAGATATTATGTGATACAAGGTTTATTACGCATCTGTTCATTATTATTGATAAAGTATTCATGATGTCAGAAAAACACGTAGGTTCAAGAAGTCTTGACATAAGATGATAAAAACCCTATAATCCGAGCGCTTTCGAAAAGTGGACCTTTCTTCTTCATGGACAAATTGTTAAAGTATTATGTTATTGCTTGGTTTGCGACTTATATTCTAATATTACGTTGTACTTAATGCTGGGTTTATACTTTAAGCTGATGAGCCTTCATTAACTTCAAATATTTGTTTATAACAATAATAGATTTCAGTTCCATTGCAATAGCGTTTTGGGGTCAGAAGAATCTGTAGTAACCACAACACTCACATACTCAAAAGAACATTGTTCCAGATTGATTTAGGGTGTGATTTCGGAGTCTGCTGCTGTTTAACCATCTTTGTTTATTCCATGTAGACCACTGGAGGCTCTTTTGTTCATATTCTGTGTGATTTGCTACACAGCTTAACCTTAATAATATCGCTTTAAGCGAGTAATTTTCCTCGGAAAGGCTGTGACAAATCTCCAGCGGTAAGTCTTCTTATAGTAGCATCGCTATATCGAATGGTAATGAAACTGCCGTGAATCAAACATATAGATACTAGACATGTCGGTCATGGCGCCACGGCTAATCTGCGGTGAAACATCTCTAGCTATAAAACGTTCACATATAAAGTGCGACTAACCTTCTGTAATACGGACTTGCGCAGGGTTCATATGATGGATATCGAGATGTGTATTTGTTTAAAAACAAAGTAATACTTAAGGTCTCTCTACGTACTTGGTTTAGAGAAATGTAGGAAGTAAAAATACATAGTTAGTAGAAGTGAAAAAGTTTGTAATTTTATCCTTAGATGTGTGGAAGTAATATATGTATCTAGAAAAAACAGTTAGTTGTATCTTTGCAAGTCTAGTGTTTCTAAAGAAACAGTTAAGGTTCTAATGACGTGCGGCTCTGCGTGTACACGTTGCACAATAATGACGAAGGCCCTGATGTTGCATGTTTCTTATGTGAAAGAGTGATCATGGTTCTTTTGTTGGACGTTTTAATACATACATACATACATAGAGCAAGGTCAAACTTCTGCAGTTACTGATACCAACTAGATATCGTGCAGAAAATTTTACGTTCTATCTTTGGGTGTCTGTACAGTGTTGTAACAGAATGATCAAATTTCTACTGTTGGACGTCTTTACTTGTACATAGTATGTCGTAATGAAATGTCCAAGGTTGTACTGCAAGATGTATCTACCTGTACGTGCCTAGTACTTAGGCATACAGTTGGTGTCGATTTATATTGATCTGTTTTCGGTTTATAGGAAGCAGCAGCACCTAGCTAGTAGTCGTAAACTGAATACATTTTTCCCATTAGTTATCTCAAGGGATTACATTACATAAAAATATTGAACTCATTCTAAATTATTCTGTTATCTAGAACAACTTATCAACGTTAGGCCTTAAAGAATTCCTCTTATAAGCTAAAGATGAAAATGTAGACCGATAATGCTTTGTTCAACGTCTTGGGAAATAAAAATGTAATTATAAAAAATAGCTTAAATATTCCTTCATATATTGTATGTATATACAATCAAGTTATTTTTAGAGAATGAGGGGATTTAGCGTGAATAAAAGTCCTTTAACAGAAACACCACTTTAAGACTAATAACAAAATATTTTAAAATGTTCAATCATATTTTAATTCAAAAACTATCATAATTTTATTATCGTATTGGCCCGATTATAAGGCGACGCTTTTTATTAATAATTAGGCTGTAAAATTCATAGTCGCCTTATAATCGCGGCCGACCACAGTCCCCCTTCCTCCTACTCTAGTCTGTTGCATTCCTGGATGTCCAAATAGCATCCGCCTACATATGCGCGCCAGATGTTCGCTCAAAGTCATCACTATTCTTGCAACTGATCTACCTGCAGGCAATTCAGTTATAGTAGTGATTTTTTGGACCTAAAAAAGTACGTTATGAAACTGAATTTTTTTACCCATGGTTTCTGACAATGAGAGTCCCCTTAAGTTCGAGATCGCCCTATAATCGGGCCAATACGGTAAGTGAATGTTCGTTTTCAAACAAAAAAACCCCGTAATAGGCTATCTATACTCTTTTCACAGCGGGTATACAAACGCGATTGTTAGCGTTATTAGCTTTCAGACTTACCGCTGAACCACCCGGGAATTCTAAATTTTATGAATCCCATCAATAACATAAAACACCCATGTTCACTGATATTTTGAAATTTGTTTTTAATATAGACTCTTTGTTCTTCAAAATAATTGCAGCATTCACCATAAAATTATTTAGCTAAGGTGTTATTATAACTAGCCTAGACCAAGTAAAATGAAATAAGGTTGACGTATAAAGGTAAGCCTTTCTAAAAATAAGATGTTTTGGTTTATTGATTGACAGTGCTTATCGTAGTCCTATCGATCGGCTTCAAAGAATATATATATATATATATATAAATCTTTAATATTGCGTGTCGAGCATTATTGACTATTTGTATTTTAACTTTCACAAGTTTCTCTTTTTTTAGAGTCAATACAATAATTATTAATATAAGGTATACCGTATTCAGAATATTATAGCTGAATAAACAAAATATTTTTATATCTTTTTCAGGTTTTATTTATTGTGAGGTAGCAACTAGTATATATATATAGACTGAACTAATATAATGTCACGTAATACGACAAGCGTCATTACAAAAGTGGCTTAAGTTGAATGCGAAACTCAAAGCAGCCAGTGTCGCCATTTACTTAAGTATTGTGCGTATAAATGGACAGAGCTACTGGGTCCAAGTTTTCCACCATGACTTAACAGTATATAACATAAGCGCAATATTGCAAACACGAATTAAGAAAGTAAATGACTTTAATATTCTTATCTTACCTATATGTATCGGTCCCATTTTGACGCTCCACTCCATATTTATTCTCTTCTTCTATTTTTTTTTCTCCAAAATTACTATTCTTAATTACATCACATCAACGCAGTAACTCGTGTATTAAATATTCAACAAGAGTTCGAAATCAAGTTCCGAAATTATAAATAATGTTACCGAAGAGTTTTGATAAGAACTGGCTCATCTAAATAGAATAGTAAGATTACTAACTTTTTCAAACTTCAAGCGGGACATTTCTAAAACATTCGCTATTTTCAAACACGAGCCTCTCTTCTTCATGACCTAGATTACATTTCTGCCTACTGAAAAGAGACTTAGGATGTACATGTCTAGTCATTAGCTAGCTAACGTCGCTACTTTCTCTCTTCTTTCAGCAAAGGAGGGAAGGGTCTGCAATACCCACAGCTGCATGATATGGCGAACACACGTGGCATGTGTATTTTCTGGCAAACGCGCACTTGGTGACTAGAAAGGTTATGACAATAATTTAGTGTTTTCTTTATCTATGCACAGTTGAAAAGCAACAGAGTAAGATTTCATAGTCTAAACACTTTGAAAACTTAGTCTAGTCTCATGTTTTATTTCAGCGAACGACAAGTCCATTATGATTTATATAATCACAACGAATGTGAACACCACCACATTCTTAACGGTTCAGTCAACTAGCTCCGCCGCACAGGCGCGTGAGAAAACATCTCGTGCTGAATAGGAAACTTGTGTCGCTGCGCAATACTCGATAAAAAAAGGCATATGTTTATCCCATGTTCGTACCGGTAGAATGTGTTGGAGTGATCTTGATAGAAACCATGGTTTCGTGTTCGTTTAAACAAAATTGTTGGATTTTGAAATAAAGTTAGATAAGTGATACGGTGAATAATGAAACAATTTATGTCACATCAGTTAAAATTTATAGTTTTACGACAGCTTACCTTTTAAATAATACTATTTACATATCATTATTCATAAGAAAGTCGGAGGTACAATGATTTTCAAGTACGACTGTCATAAGAAAGTCGGAAGTACAATGATCTTCAAGTACATCTGTCAGTTATTGGATTGTTGAAGATTTATTCTGTTTTTCTAATATTTTCGTGCAGATGTTTAAAATGTTTACGAAATGAAACAGTAAATGCCACTACTTTGGGCTTTGAATGTTTGTTAATTTTTTTAGCACAAAGCTAGACACGACTTATTTGTGCTTTGCTCAATGAGGGTATCGAGACTCGATTCTTATCGTTCCCTAACATTTACCGCTGATCCGTCGGAGGCGGTTCGGAATGAGATAATGTTGGAGAAATGTTGAGGTCAATCGCTATATCACAACTTATGGTTACAATAACTTTGAAACATTTGATAAATTTTAGTCTCAAAGATTGGTGTCTATTTATCTATCCACATTTTAAAAATTTCAATACATTAAAATGTTTTTCATTTCGAAGATGAAAGACTGTTTGTCTACGTTTACACGTGTTGTATTACACTTTAGTAACATAGCTAACATTTAATCATACATGTTTCCTGATAATAATACTGTAACACATCATCAGCAAACTAAGGCTCGGAAGATGTATGCTTTCGTTTTGTTACGACAGCGGAAGTCATGTCACGCTAGTAACACGTCACGAGTTTCTAGAAGGATCATGACTGTTCCTGGCAACTAGTATTTGCCAGACGCCCTCTATTTTTGTATATAAGCCGGGTAAATAAAGCGGAGATAGAATAGCAGATTGTAGATAGGGAGATATATAGACAGATAATCGATTCAAATGAGCGGTAGTGACCGTAAGTAAAGTGCGTGAATCGTTTTGAATTATATCGTCTGTTTAAGTTAAAGTGACTGTGGAAATTAAGTGTATTGCAAAGTTGTATTGAGAAAGAATAAACTAGTTTTATTTAAGAAAGGACTTGTATCGCTAAAGTTCCTCGGAAAAAATTTATACCGGAAATTAACAAACGACAAGAGATGTAACAAATTGGTGTCAGAAAGTAGGACTGAAAAAAGAAAGAAAAAGAAGATGGAAACGATGGCT